GAGGCTGGCTGCTGTCTGTGGCAGACGGAGAGGATTTCCCCATTAGTACTCGTTGGAGGACAGCAAGAAGAGAAGTATTCATGTCTCTTTCCAAATAAATCAGTAACCGGGAGCTGAATTCAGAATACGAGGGAGAGCTCCCAGAGCGGCCAATGAAGACGACTGCGAGGAATCTAATTGGAAACCCTGTCTCTGGCAGACTGGAGCCGTGGGGATGGTTCCCGTGGATTATGTCTGCCGATTCCCACAAATTTTATCATTCGTTTACTAGCCGCTGCTGCCTCCTTCCTCACCCCGTGCTTAATCCATTCCCACCAGGATGCCACCCGTGATGTATCTCGTGTGGGAGGTTTTGTTGAGCCCGAGATGGTGGTCACTGCCACAAACGGTCTGTCTCAGCCCGCAGCAGCACAGCTGCGGTACCCCCACCCACGGACAGACCCGCACCCCCGCACACGTGCGCACGCAGTTATTTGCCAAGCGTGGGCACAGAGAGTTAAGGCCCGAGTGGAATTTCAGAAAAAAAAAATAGAAGCCTCTGTTGGACTCGAAGTTTTAGAGTCGATTTAGATTGGGTTAGTAAAGTGTTCTTCAAATGTCTGTTTTCACATCCCCCCGGAAGGGCACCGCCGCCACAGCCCCTCGCACGTCGACAAGGCGCTGGCGCGGCTTGGCGGGGGCAGGGGGCCCGTTTGGAGCCCTGTCCCGCTCCCCGCCGCGGCGGCGGAGCTTTGCCTTGCCGGGAATGCGGGGTCCGGCGCTCTGCCTTCTGTCTAGTGTTTCCCACAGATCTGTCAAGCCCGATTTGGAAGGAGACTCCCTCATTTGGGATTAATTTCCAGGCAGATTGGAAAGTGTATCTCTACGGGGCTTTTATTTTTTCTTTTTTTTTTCTCCCCCCCTTCTTTCCCCTCCATCCCCCCACGCCTGTTCCAAACCGAGATTTAAAATCTATTAAGTCGCGCTTGCTTGCTTGGTCACAGCCAGGATGTCATGACTATCCTCAAAACTTTTCAAACTGATTTATTTCTCCGAGTTTACAGCTTTCCTTGCTGATATATGGTCGAGGCGAGACGGGCGGCCGCGTTCAGAAGGGTAACACGCCGATTTCAGACTTGCCGCTGCTGAAAGATGCCTCGTATACAAAAAGCAAACGAAAGACCCTCCTTTCCCAAAACAAAGAAATAATAGGGGGACATCAGAACATTACTAGAGTGATACGCTCATAAATCAGGCATTTCCCTTGGAAGTGTTAAGCGCGGAGAAAGAAAGACACATCACACACTTCTTACCCGCGGGATATTTATTTTCCTTCGCCGGTCAACTGGGTGTCAGTAACTTTTGCCCTATGCTGTCCAACTGCGGCTGTGAACCCACGATGCGCCTTAAGTTTCTCTAAAAAGCCAAATCTTGTCGTCTTTAAAAAAGGGAGAAAGTTTTGACATATCGCGGAACGATTTAATGCCGCAAAAACTGATATGCAGAACAAATAAGTGACTAAACCAGAAAGTCTATTTTTAAATTTTTAATGGGTGGTGTTAACAATAATGGCGTAATTATCACTGTTTTATTAAGGCTATTTTTTACGACATGGTTAGAGGTGGAAGCTTTGGAGAGAAGAGAATAATAGGCGCATTACTCTGGAAGGTAAAGACAAGCTGATACAATGACAGCACATTACACGTAAGTGGCGTTGAGAGGAGAGAGGACAGAGCTGGGAGTGGGAAGTGCCTAGGAGAATGTGTAATGGTATTTCCAGGATTCTACCCAGGACACATTTCTGCCTCTGTGTAGCTCTGAATATCGGATCCCGGCATCCCTACGGAGGGCATCTGCCTGTTCTTGATCTTTTGGGGTTTTTACCTGTTGGCTGCCCGGAGCAGCGCTTCCCTGTCACCGCAGGAGGCTCTGGAGATTTTTACTTTGTTAGGTCAAAACCGGGGGGG